TGGTAGAAAGTTCGGAGATGGTATTAAAGTAGCTCAGTTTAAATGTATTGTATGAATTGCCCTTACTATGGAATAAAAAATACGGGGTGTCTATTTAGATTTAGTTCAAAGTGGGTATAAACCATCAGCTCCAGTGATGCAGATGGATAAGCCTGTGTTGTTGGCTTTTAGATGTGATAGTCCCGGGTTCGATCCCGCCTTTTGCCGAACTTTTTTTTCTCCCTTTTCAAATCTCGTATCACATCGTAAAGGCATTTATTTTCAATAAAAATTAAGGAAATAATCAAAAAGTTGAAAATAAAGTATCGGGTAGGGTTAGGGTAAGTGTAGGGAGGGCTTTATTGTACCAATAAGGTGGCATCCATTTAATAATTAAAATTAAAATGATAATTTACACTCAATACGTTATTATTGCATACTGTTTTATAATGTACTACAATACTGAAGTGCAGATAATTGCCACTATTTGCAACAAGTAGTATACTTGATAGTAGAAATCCTGCTATTTTAACATAAAAAATAGCATGTAATAACATGTAAATAGGTATTTGCACTTAGTGTAAATAGCATATTGCTAAAAATACTGCTACTTTCACTTAGTGTAAATAGAATCCATTGCTAATACGAGATTTGAAAAGGGAAAGAAAAAAAAGTTTGGCAAAAGACGGGATCGAACCCGGGTCTATCGCGTCAAAAATCAAACAATACACACTTATCCATCTGCGCCACTGGAGTTGACATTTTACAGCCACTTTTAACTAAATGTAAATAGACACCCCGTATTTTTTATTCCAGAGTGAGGGCAATTCATACAATACATTTAAACTGAGCTACTTTAATACCATCTCCAAACTTTCTACCACGACTCTGCTGCTCTTCGGCTAGTTCTTCCCTGTTCGTTGATTGACAGATGTCTCGTCCAGTCAGCGGTGAGTAATCCCAAACCAATGGCGCTGTCTCAAACTATACCTACCTCTTCCGGTTTGTCTGATTTGTCATTGTGTTTTCTGACTTGTTATAATGTTTTCTGAATTGTTATTTAGTTTTTTAGACTTGCATTTGCGTTTGTAATTTGTTATTTTGTTTTCAGAACTGTGATCTGCTTTGCACTTCTCGGCCACCGTACATTACAGACACATCCTTAATTACTTAAGTCTCATGTGGCAGGTTCAGTGTTTGGACAATTCAGCTGAGCAATATTAAAAATCAAATCTTTTAGAAAATGTTGCCCTGTGTGTGTGTGTGTGTGTGTGTGTGTGTGTGTGTGTGTGAGTGTGTGTGTATATATATATATATATATATATATATATTCTCTCTTATAATTCTATGAAAACATAAAGGCCGACCCACACCAATGCTCTAGCCAAAGGCTATTGATAACTAGAGCATTAATGATTAATTAATCATTTGACCTTTTGGTTGTCAAGGAGACAGAAGTAGTATCTGTTTAATCTATTGTCCCACCTGACTCTTTGTGTCCTTGAGTGAGTTGAATAGGTTTAAATTTTAGCTGATGTGTATTTATAACAGAGACATGTAGACTGCATTAACTCAACTGGCTGGCACTCAGTTTACAAGCCATTCTGTCATCTGCAAAAGCCATTTGGAAAAGATGCAAAACACTGTTTCTTGGCAATAGTTTATTTGTATTAATATGTCTCAAGTAAGAGGTTTGCTGTTGATATTGAAGTTTGTGTGCCTTCAGAGGGGTGTCTGGGTGCGTTACCCGGCTCTGGGCCCTCTTGAGGATTCAGGTGTCAGTGCCATGCATTTATTGACAGCCGATATGGTATGATGAACCTTCTGGTGGGTGCCTGAGGGAGGGGGTTGAAAAGCGAAGGAGAGAGAATGAGAGGGATAACAAATCTAGACAGAGGACTGAGATAAGTACTACGTGAGAACCTGGGAATACCCAGAGCGAACAAGAAGGCCAGATCGTGAGTGAGACTGTGGGTGATTATGCACTTGTATGCGGGGGGAGCTGCATGCCTAATTAAGGGATTTGGAAAGGAGGGATAGCCCATGTGTTAATGTAAGCGTGAGAGACACTGGAAGACAGCAATGAGGGAGACAGGTGCCAGTGGGAGAAGAGTTGTGCTCGCTATATTCATCTGAGGTTTCAGGGTCAGAGAGAGGGCATGACCAAATACACATTTTATAAAGAAAAAGAGGGAGAAAAGAGAAACCTTTAAAGAGGAAATGGAACAAAAGCAAATGAGATACATGCACTTAATTGCCTTTGTTTTTATTGCACTGTTTACACATTTTATGCACCCAAGTAGGCAAGTGGCCCTTCCTGGCTGTTGTGTGTCTTAATAGGAACCTTTTGTTTCATTGCAAGCTGATAGCGTGTTTTGTGTGTGTATGTGTGCACACACTCGTCTCAGTATCAGTAATTGTTTGTTATATGTCACTGTGTTTTCAGCTAGACTGGCTGGACGGATAGAGTTACATCCCCAAACAAATGACAGTCCTCGTGCAGGTAGACAAGAACAGATGTAAAGGCACTTGACATACACAATATTACATGTTATGAGGATTAATTAAACGTTATATTGAAAATGCAAATGAATGCCAGAGTATTTATCTATTTAGAAGACCCAAGTATACCCATACCTGGTCTACCGCACAAAACCTGGTTGTCACAGCGACGTCAAACAGAAAGAGAACACCTGCTACACTGATCCTGTTATATTAGACACATGGACACTACTACTGCAAAATGACTGAAGTCTTGTACACCTCATCCTGTGTAAATACATTCAAATAACAGCCTTACCTGAAAATAACTTTCAGCCACGAGGAACATTTTACGCCAAGGCAAAGCAAAAAAACAAAGGTGAGGTACAGGTAAGTGCTGCATCTATTTTTTAGTGGGATTGAATTTAGTCTTCAATATTATTTTTTCATTGTTCATACAGTGGTTTGCTATATATAGAGGCCTACTGGGATAATTAATGAGCATGAGCATGGGTTGATTCTTCTTTTTTTTTTGCCACATTAAAATGGTAATTTTTCTTAATTTAATATGAATTTCTATAAAAATAATTTAAAATGTTTTATGTTATTATTTTTAATGACTTTAATACTTCCATAAAATTATATTACCTTGTAAAATTTAATTTCCATGTGCTCAACTTGTCAACTCATACTGCACTTCATGGAAATGTTAAATTATATTATGATTTTACATGCTAATATAATTGCTCTAACAAGGATACAATTGCCTTACAATTGGCCTCCATATGTGAAACATTAAAATAACTACCATTTCCTGACAACTCTGCACTGTCAAGCATAATTATTCTGGTTCTGAGGTGAAAATGTGTCCAAAGAATTTTCTGGTCAAGTTGCTTTTTAGTCATAATTCAAAGACGTGTGTAAGTCAAGCCTTGTCCACTCCTCAAAAAGAAAGAAAAACACCTATGGTGATGCAGGGCAGATGCTGCTGGGGCTAATCACCAGAGATCAGGTATTTTGTTTAATAGAAGTGGTGCAAATTTTACCAGGAGAATGATGCCAAATGCAGACTCAAATTTACATCGAAATGACTTGAGAACAAAAAGCTGAATGTTCAGCAAAGGGCCAGTCAAAACCCTAATGTCAGTCCAACTTATGATCTGTGACAGATTTTCGAAAATGGCAGTGCATCAGTGTTATCTGACTAACCAGAACAACCTGTGGTGCAAATCTGCATAGACGAATAAGCCAAAATCAAACCTGAACAGTGTGTGCTGAAAGCTGGTCCAAAATATCATATTTGTTAATATTAATAATATAATTGTTTTTATTTGTTATTATTTAAATTCATTTTTACAATTATTTTCTAACAAAAAAGTGTTGCAATAGTAATAATAAGCAAAAGTGTCAGTATTTTATATTAATAGTTTCAGATTGTTTAATTAAAATATCAAAGAGAATATGTTCTGTGTTGGGTTTTTTTGTTCTTTTTTTTTGCTTAACTCTGATTCATTCCCTCAGTGAGGTAAGCCAAGAGTGCAGTGCTAGTGTTGGCCTGTGCACACAACTTGGATTCAGACTACACACACATACACAAGCACTAACGCAAACTTACAAACACTCATAGGTGGCTCATATACCAGCACACTTAGTTGGCCCCTGGCCTCCCCGAGCCCCTTGCCAGAACCCCAATAGCTAACATGTCCCCTAAATCATATCCCTTCCCACATACACACACTGTCTCTCATGCACACAAAACACACATAGTCTTGACTTTAATATTAGATATCCAATCACTCTTAAACCCTGATCCCAAACCCCTCTAAACACAACTTTCCCTCTAAACGTATTTTATTTTGATGTTTTTATGTGCAAAGGGACTCCTGACACATTAACCTCTCCAGGGCATGTCTAACCCTTCTCCATTTCCAAGGGAAACTACACCGTCTGCAAATACACCGTTACCCAATCATCCCTGAAACTAAAGCTAAACTCGAGGTTACAGGACGACACTTAACGTTGTGGTTTACAGATTCTGCCAGCTGTTACTGCTGTGGAACAAAGGCGTCACTTCAACAGAAATAGGATATAAAAAAAACTTTTTGTACTTAGGTATTTTTATTTTATTTTAATATTTTATTTATTATATACTGGAATAATCACTGAACATGGTTAGATTTTAAATTAATCTCATGTAACTCAGATGTATATTATTGTCTATTCTGTGAATTGTACCATGTCCAATGTCATTATCAGGCATCATTATTTTTCTTTTATCATTCTTTATTATTTTAATATTTGTTGTGTGCATATATAAATTATATTATGTTGTCAACTCAGGTTGCACTTTATGAAAATTCAATTTTATTCGCTCTTATTTTATTGCATTCTATTTAACTCTTAATACATCCATTTTCCCCAACATCTCCCTTAGCATATTAATATTTCTCTTCCTTTGTCCTCAACTTTTCTTCTTTCTTGTTTATTTTCCTTTTCTCTCATCTTCTACCCAGCTTCTTTCCGCTTCTCCTCTTTGCAGTATGCCAGAGAAAGTGTGCAAGTTTCAAGGTCAGTGTTATCATAAGCTGAAGAGATCATGTCTGAGGCGAGGGGCTCTGTTCCAAGATCCATTCTTTCCTCCTTCAGCTGAGTCACTGTTCTACAAAAGGACACCCCCTCCAGGACTGATGTGGAAGAGACCTAGGGTAAGAGAATCTGACAGTGAACTGTCGCTTTCCATTTTAAATGTGTTTGTGTTAATAGTTAATTTTGTACATTTTTAGGAGTATATTATCATGTAGATGGCCTTAACGATTTTGTTGGTGCTAAAAGTATAACACCACAATAATGGAAAAATATGTTAAAAGTATTTCCTTTCTTTAAAAGAGTACAGTACAGTCTGATGTTACTGTACGTACGGTCTGGTGGCAGGCCAGTAGTGTCTGACCCTCTCAGTGAGCATAAAATGATTCTAAATGTGGCTGCACAGTCAGCAGCATAAGAGATATGTTTAATTAAAGGTCTTTCTGACGGCTGCAAGGCGTCAGTAACCTGATTCTTCAAAGAGCGCAGTGTATGTGTGTATGGCTTCAAATGAGGGCGATTACCAACATATGATGCTACATTTACATGTGATATGCTGACAACTCTAATAGACAGTTAAAGCAGCAATATTCAAAAATTTTAAGGAAAATTCAAAAAAACACATTTTGATTTGGAGAGCTACTTTCCTAGTTTGTGCAAAATCGTTTTAGTCAGGAAAATAAAATTAAAAAGTTAATTAATTAACATCAGACAAATTATGTCATTACAGCACTATGTTTTTTTTTTGTATATGTTTGTTTGAATTGAAAATGTTTATGTTTTTATTATTTATTCTGCTTTTTACTTATCTACTTTTGCAAAAAAAAAAGATTCATTATTCTGAAATGTTTCTTTAATGAAATGGGTAGATGTAACCTTATACACATACAAATTATTTAAGGGTATTCTGTCTTACACCCAGGAACTGTGTAAAGATCCTCGACTATTTGTGGATGGAATCAGCACAAGGGATCTGCACCAGGGCAGTCTGGGTAACTGCTGGATGGTGGCAGCCACATCATGTTTGGCAGCAGAATCCTCACTCTGGAAGAAGGTCAGAAAATATGTGTGTGTGAAGAAGTAAATACTTTTATTCAGCAAGGATGCATTAAATTGATCAAAAGTGACAGTTCTGTCAGGACCACTATCGTCAAAGATGATTGACAGTTAGCATACAGTTTGGATTGGATGTATGGTTCTTTTCTGGGCAAGAACTCCCTGCGCATCCACGCAGCCTAGCATGGATGAGAGCAGGGAGAGCAGCGATAACCCACCCAGGGTAAACAGAACAGATCCAACATAAATGTATTGCAGATATCATTAAAGTTCAATAATGTTATGTACACATTTTAGAATTAGTCTGATTCAAAGGAGAATCAGAAGGCTGAATCCTGACTGACAGAGGAGGAGCTGGGGATGGAGGAGGGTAATTAGCTATTGAGCAATGTGAAAACTGCTGATAATACTGAGGGACCTTATATATGAATGCTTAGATAGGTGTCGTATTCCTATAGGTAGATGGGGATCAGCTGAGAGTCAGCTGATGCGAGCTTGACTAACGTGACCTGCCAGAACTAACGTTACGCTTGATTTAAGACATGTAAAATATTACAAAATATTTCTTTTTTAAATAAATCCCATCACACACTGTAAAATCCAATAGTTTACCTTACTTAGATATATTTAGTTATCTTTACTTAGTTGTTATATCCAGGATTAGGAAACAGTCCTCCATAAAATGTGCTGTACACATCTGAATATGTGGGTTGAAGTGTTCTGGAACAGTGTTGTAAATACAACTTAACCACTGATTTCTAGTCGTGTCCATTTTTGGAAGACCAAACAAAGTAGTTTTGCTTTCACAACGAAACAGTGT